TAACTTGAATAAAGCAAGACAAAGAGTGTCAATGGATTTCCTATGAGAGGGGGTTCGCACAAAGATCATAAGGTTTTACAGAAGAGATACGACTGTTTTGTTCTTAGAACTCTTCTAATATTTGGGCTCGATGTTGTTGCTTTCCCTTGATTTAGATCCCAAAAGTGATTTATCTAAATTCCTATTGATCTATCTATATAACCTGCCAGAATTCGTTTTTTTTATATTACCCTTTCAAATTGGACATACTTTTTTTTTTAAAAAAAAAAAATTCAAATAACCTATAAATAATTTATAAAAACTTAATTTTATATTTTATCGATTTTCGATGAATTTATAAAAGATATTAAATAAAAATATTCCTAATTTGACCAAACACTATTTTATTCACATTAACTGATCTTTTCTTTATCTCATAACATAATATATATTCTTACTTTTTTATTTATACAACAATGAGAACATTAATTATTTTGTAATTTAATGTGTATATATTATATATTCCTAATTCTGAAGTAAAAGTAATAGTAATATAGTAAATAATTTATTATATATGATATATCGATTCGAATATTAAAGTAAAATAATTATTGAAATAAAAAGTAGTTGAGCTGTCAGATATATCATCTGATCGGCTCTGAATTTTTTTTTTCCCCAAAATAAATGTTTGTTTTTTTTTGAAGAAGAAAGAAAGATTTTTGACCAAAAATATAATCAGTTTTAAATAAATCTTTTCTACTTTTCATGAATTAAAAATTAAAAAAATTATCTTTATATTTAAAATCTTTTTTTTTAAAGATTTTTATGCATTTTTTTTGTTATTTAAAAAAATAATAAACAATTTTTTTTGTTGATTTTTATTTCATATTTATTTATTTGTGTTAGCGCCAATGTATTATTTTTTCAACTTTAAATCGTTTTTTTGAGCGCGTTTTTTTTTAAATTTAAAATTTTGATTTTACCGGAAATGTGTTCCAGCATGTTTAGAATGCCTATCTTATTTAATTGTTGATAATTTTACCGATATTTTTTGGGTCATTTATCATTTATAATGAAAAATTGATGGATAAAACTAATATAAATTATATTAACTCCAAAAGTTAATGAACAAAATTATCTGAAATTCATAGAGTGGGTATTCCAAACATGTTGGAAAACATTTCCGATAAAATCATATATTTCAATTAGTGATGTTAAACGGCTCGTTTTGAGCCGATTTTTAAAAACAGCTAATTCAATATTACATCCAGAAAAATATTACGCAAGCCTGAAAATTTTGTTCATAGAAGGAACAAAGGTCTAGACATATATTAACGAAATCTCGAGGCTTAGGCATAATTTTTCTGGCTAAAATATTGAGTTAGCCGTTTTGAAAAATCGGCTCAAAACGAGCCATTTAACAACACTAATTTCAAATCAAAAATACGTGTTAAAAAAAAAGATCTAAAGTTGAAAAAAAAATAACAAATTGCCGGAAAAAAAACACACATTGACGTTAACATTTATATAAAAATGTGATTCAAATTAAAAATATTTTGAATTTAATTTTATATCATCTATAAAAACATTAAATGAATCTTGATCATAAAATTCACGATTGTTTATATATTGAAACTAATATTATCTGATAAAAATATATTCAAAAATAAATTTTTACTTTCTTTCTTCCTTCCTTCCTTTCTTCCTTCCTTCCTACCTTCCTTCCTTCCTTCCTTCCTACCTTCCTTCCTTCCTTCCTTCCTTCCTTCCTTCCTTCCTTCCTTCCTTCCTTCCTTCCTTCCTTCCTTCCTTCCTTCCTTCCTTCCTTCCTTCCTTCCTTCCTTCCTTCCTTCCTTCCTTCCTTCCTTCCTTCCTTCCTTCCTTCCTTCCTTCCTTCCTTCCTTCCTTCCTTCCTTCCTTCCTTCAATTTTCAGAATTAAAATAAGAAAAAAAATGCTTTGAAATACTTATTCTTTAAAAAAAAAGAAGAAGAATGAAGATAGTAAAGAAATATTTCGATCGCATTTTTTAAAATGAAATCCAAGAGCTTAAAAAAATTCGAAATAAATAGCATTTTAAAAAAGCAAATATTTTTTTAATTAAAAAAATTATATCGGATCCAATGACATAAAATAATAACTAGACTGACGTTGCATTCATAATAATGCATTTGAAAGCGTCATTGAATGCAAATCAGCTGGATCCGCCATGTTGATAACCCGTGTACTGGACCCGCCATGTTGGTAACACGTGTAAAAATTATTAACATGTTAATAACTACTCTAGAATTGGAGTGCTCCACTCGACATTTTCAAAATTTTTGAGTTAGAAGTGGATAATAACTTATTTATTCCCAAATAATATAAAAATAAAAACTATATTAAAAAAATATTAATTTGCCAAAGTTATAAGCTTCTGTCAAAATTGATCAATAAGCTTTTCCTAGATTTGATTTTAAACTTCAATGTTGATTTTCTCATTTTAAACATTTGCGTAAGTGGAGCATTCCAATTCTATGCCGACGATATATTATCCTCAGTTTTACGATCCAGATTGATGTTACTTGAAAATATGCTATTTCGAAAAAAGGAATGGGTAACCAAAATGGCGTCTCCTGCTGTTTTGATGTATACACTTTTAATGAATGCATCGTCAGTCTAGGTATTATTATGTGTCATTGATCGATCAGATTTTGGAAAATATTTTGAATATTTAATCGAGCTATAAAAAAACATAAATAACCGTTAATTTGCAAATTTCACTGAATCCTAGGAGAAAAAAAAGAGTTTTGATTTCTAAATGGTCCTCACCCATCCTTTTAATGATCAGTTAAATTTATCTATTTAAGCATTGCCTCGGGGATTAACATGTAACAATTGACTAAACGCTTAATATCTTTAATTTAAATCTAATCTATTTCCTTTTCCTCGGTTCCCTTTCTCGAAGAGGTTAATTCCGGATCCTCCAGCTCCTCGGTTAAAATTATCTCAATCTTTTCTGCCATTCAAAAAATAAATGATGATTTTATTTTTTATGCATTAAAGGATAAATCTAACTATTTTATGCGGATATTTTATGAAAAACCACAATAACATCCGATTTCTATTACACCATTTTTTCATTTATTTTTTTGGCCTTTTTATAGTCACATGACTTTTTTAAAAAAAACGTGGTTCTAAAAAAAGATGTCACGTGAATATTTGAATTAGGGCACAATTTACACTTACAAAGCGTATACATATGGCAGAGTTTAATCAACTTCATAAATTTAAAAAAAAAAATTATATCAATTAGTAATTACTAGAGCTAAAACAATAATGTATAAAATTTTTAAACGATTGAAAGAAACAAAAATCATTAATAATAAATCATTAGTGCTAATGTTGTTAAACGGCTCTTTTTGAGCCGATTTTTAAGCTAACTCAATATTTTAGCCAGAAAAAATATTGCCTAAGCCTCGAGATCTCGTTAATAGATGTCCAAACCCTTGTGTCATCTATGAGCAAAATCTTTAGGGCCCTGCACAATATTTTCTCCGAATAAAATATTGAGTTAGCCCTTTTTAAAAATCGGCTCAAATCGAACCGTTTAACAACACTGATTCTGAAATATATCTAGAATATGAAAGTAATGTCGTTATTAACGGTACTACTTCTTTTTTTTTTGAAGGAAAAGGAACGCCATTTGCTACTTGTTTCTGTAACTAGTAACACTCTAACGCTTAAAAAAAATAATGGAAAAATTTTATAATATAATTTATAGTATTTTTTGTTATTAATTATATAAATATTTTAAGCCTGAGTTTTATTCGGATAAATTATGACGTTCTTCATTTTTATTTTTTTATTAAATTACATTTTTTTTTGTTTGTTAAATTATAATTCCACAGTCAAGATTTGTTAATTCAATTAATATTGAATCAATCAATATTTTAATTTTATGTTCTCTAATATAATAAAATTATTTTATAAAGAATATAATTTGCCAATGGTACTTATTTAACGATTTTTTAATTTTTCTTGCAAGAATTTTATAATATATTTTATTTCAAAAAAGATATAATATTTAATAATTCAAAGTCCGAACCGGCAAAAAAAATATAAAGTTCAACAATGTCCAAACCGAAATTATTTTTAGAAAAAAAAATTTCTTTTTAAATCCCCTAATATTAATTGAGGCATCAAGCATTTTTTATTCTTCATTGGTTTATATGGAATTGTAATATGAAATATTAGAAAAAATTAAACATGAATTTCATTTGTGAATTTGAATTTTATTTATGCGAACGCTATGTGCAAACTTCCTAACTCCGCCATTACTGTTGGCACGAATTCGTGGCGAAGTATATAAAATAAATAAAAATATAATAATATTTTCATTCATTTTTATCCGAAAATTCGCTCTGTCCGTGAATGCAGGGTAATGCATTAAGATATAACTGTTTTAACTTGACTTAAATAACGTCTTTCAAAATTTTTTTTCTACCACTAAATATTTTTTTATGTAAAAATTGTTATATTTTAATTCTTATTTTTTTAAAAAAAAAAATCATAACATGCATTATTTATCGATAATTTAGTTAGGTAATTTATTAGTATAAATTTTGTATGTATAATCAACTTTCGACGCAACCACGAATAAATAAGGGTTTTATTGAAAATATCGTAAATAATATATAAATTAATAATTTATAATAAAAATTCTTGTTTAAATTTGAAAATTTCTATAGATTTTTAAATGAGATCCACTCGTGATCAAAATATATAAATTATTTTTTTTTTCTTGATTATTTGTTATTTTTTTTATCCAATTTTTATCTTTCAACGGCGTGTTTGTTATTTTATGTTTGATTTTTAAAATAATAAAATTATACAGAATTAATTTATTTCAAACAAATGTTTAAGGCGATGGTTATAAAAATAAATTTATAAAATCCAAACTATAATTATTTTTTTTTATTTTTTAAATAAAATGAATTCATAATTTTCAACAAAAAAAAAATACAAACCATTCATAAAAAGAAGTTTGTCCAACGCTATTGAACCCATCAAGGACCCTACAAAATTAGCCAACTTGTCATTGGTGCCATCTAATCAAGGTTAACATGTTATTTATCATTATAATATATATATATGTATATTCTGAAAATGTTTTAATTATAAAAAATCTGACATTAGAGAAGCTAACAAATATCTTTAAATAGGACTCATGCTCATTTAAAGTTTATATAATATAATATTTATATGGATATGGAATCAATAGGGTTATTCAGAATTTCTATCTCTTAAATCATTTACTACGGTTAACTTTTTAAATTTGATCAAAAATACATTTCACCAAATTTCAAACAATTTTTTTGCCACGAACTTAAGAGCTACTTTTTAAATTGAATCTTTTAATATCGATTTTTCATATAAAATACAAAATATACAAAGATTTATGGGTAAAAATTGTACGAAGTTTATAGGATATTTTAGTGATTCAAAATCGCTCCATTTGAGCCGATTTTTAAAAACGGCTAATTCAATATTTTAAGACAGAAAAAAAATATTGCCTGAATAAGCCTCGAGATTTCTTTAACAGATGTCCAAATCTTTGATGGGATGGCATCTATGAGTATAATCTTCAGGCCTGCGTAATATTTTTTCTAATGAGTTACCCCTTTTTTAAAAATCGACTCAAGTGGAAGTGATTTTGCGTCACCAAGGTAAGTGGGCTACATATGCTGGAATTAGTTCCCGTTTAAATTGAATTTTAAATTATTTAAAAATTGTCGCAATAACCCAATGCGACATAGATATCAGAGACCTGCAGAGGTACCATTAATATGGCCCGGCCCGGCCCGGATTTTTTTCTAAAAATTTTTTCGGTTTCGGCCCGGATTTTTTTAAAATATATTTTATTTATTTTTGAATTTTATGGCTAATAATGGCGATTTCAAATATTTTTAAAAAAATTCCGTTTATCCGGGCCGGGCTTAGGGCCTGGCCTGCAGGTCTCTGTATTATATATACAACATATTTATAATTTTATATTATAACAGATCGAATAATTATGGTTAAAGACATAACAAGTGGCGATGTTCTTACTGAAGCGAATAAAACTCAATCCACAATCTCATTAACCATTCCATCTTGCCACAGTGATACTGCTACTACCATTAATTCGTCGTCTTCCAAAACCTATTTCACGCATTCGAATAATGAAAGGTTTATAATTTTATCAATAAGTGATATGGACCCACTCATATTGCTTCTTTTTTTTTAAATTAAAAATTGTGTATTGAAAAAATAATGGTAAGAAGGAGAAATATATGTTTTTTTTCCCCAGATATGTAATCTCGGGTAATTACATTTTTTAGGGAATTTTACAGCCCGTTTGATTTAACTTTTCATTTTAACGGGATTATTCATAAGTTAATGATCAGATTTAATCGCTAAAACGAGTTTATTCTAGGGAAGTCTAATTGGAATGCTTAATTGTCTAATTTAGTTTTTTTTTAAATTCATTTTTTGAAGGCTATCTCATTTTGATATCATGACGAACTAAATAACCAAAGTTTTTATCTTAGATAACCCATTTTTTTCCTATTCCTTCCATCATAAGTTAATTTTGAATCAAACTTCCTAAAAGTTAAATTACATTTCTTCCGGTATATCTCAAAGTTTCCTAAGCCTTTCTTTTATAATTACTATTATTTTAATTTACAGCTAAAACCATAGTTTAGCTCGTTCGTGGCAAAATATACAAATATACAAAATATATTTTTTTTTGTATTCTTACCCTGCGAATTCGCACTAACTGTGAATTCCGGTTTATAGCTGAGAATTCGGGGTAAAAGTGGATATATCTTTTAAGCGATTTTCTTGATTTTTTTCATAATTCTTCGCAACAACGTGTAACTGTGCTAATTTACTTAGAATAATATCTTGAACTCGATATCCTTAGATCGTCATTTTTATTTACGATTTACATCCATAGCAAATTAATGAGTGTTCACTTTTCAACTCCTTCCACGAGAATGAAGAAATTATGAAATATTGATGTTTTATTATTTAAATAATAACAATTATTACAGAGTGTTTTATAAAAAAAAACGATTAAACTAAAGATACACATCTATTAGAAATACCATTATTATGAATCATGCCCAAATTATTAATCTTGCCCAGAGGAAAATAAATGTTTCGTTTCCCTTTAAAGGGTAGTGTTGTTAAATGGCTCGTTTTGAGTCGATTTTTTTAAAAATGATTAACTCAATATTTTATTCATAAAAAAAAATTATGCAAACCTGAAGATTTTGTTCATAGAAGGGAACAAAGGTCTAGACATATGTTATCGAAATCTCGAGGCTTATGCAATATTTCTGGCTAAAATATTGAGTTAGCCGTTTTTAAAAAATCGGCTCAAAACGAGCCGTTTAACAACACTACTTAAAAGTTTATGTAAAAGAATTAATGTCCTTTATTCAATGTTGCACAAAAAAAATACAAAAAAAATACCACGTTTTTTTATATTAAGGCAGAGTTTTTTTTAAAAAAAGGATACTTATTATATATGTACTAACTGATAGCCCGTCAAGAATGACGGGGCTGACGGATAATTAGATAGTTTGTATATACGTATTTTTATAAAAATAATTAAATATTCCCGAAAAAAAGAGGTAAATTTTGTGGATCACACCTCATAAGATAGGCATGATTTCTGATTTCATATATCATCGAATAAGGGAGAAAAGTATGATGTCCCGTCTTTACAATATATTTTTTGAGTTAAATCTCCCAGCATTAAGAAGAAGGTTAAAAAATTTTTTGTCTAATCCTGTCGGTCTAGAATTGGAGTGCTCCACTCGACATTTTCAAAATTTTTGAGTTAGAAGTGGATAATAACTTATTTGTTCCCAATAAATATAAAAATAAAAACTAGATTAAAAAATATTAATTTTTGTCAAAGTTATAAGCTCTGTCAAAATTGATCAATAAGCTTTTCCTAGATTCGATTTTAAACTTTAATTTTGATTTTCTCATTTTGAACATTTGCGCAAGTGGAGCATCAATTCTAGGCCGACGATCAGCTAATCGGGCAATTTTAAATTGTAGCATATAGATATGTTTAGATTTAAATTATAATATCGTTATAAAAAAATCAAAGGTCCAAATCTTTCTGCCCCCTCTATGATCAAAATTTCCAGGCTTACTCAATATTAAATTTGGCTAAAATTTTAATCAGGCCGTTTTTTAAAAATCGACCCAAACTCTTGCCGTTTAAAATAACACTAACTTCTAGGAATATTTGGACACTTAAAATCCTTTTTTTTTGACATTTTTTTACTTTTTTATGAACGCCTATATTTTAAGCCCCTGGATAGAGGTGAGAACCTATAATTTAATTCTTATGTATATACTATTAATACGCTAAACAAAATATTTTTAAAAATATGGAAGGAGTAGGGAAGGGGGAACTAATGCCGAATATTTGGTGATCATCCCGAAAATTATTTATTGTGCGAAAAATTGTTTTTAGCGAATTCGAGATTTAACTCTCCCAAGATTTTTAATTTTTTTTAAGTTATGCCATTTTTATTAAAGCTGTACATCTAATCAATTTATATATATATAATTTTAGGTTAATAACACCGGATATCACTGCCGTTATATAAATTTTTTAGCCCGAGAGTTCCGTTACTATTATTATCACAAATACCAAAGGACGCTATCTATTTATCAACCTTTTTTTTGTACAAATCGTTTATCTCCGCAAATTGTTCTATACATGTACACAATTTTATGAGTGTCGTCGTATCGCGATTTGATTTTATATTTTAAAAAAAACCATACCTCCCTTCCCCTTTTTGATCCATCGCGCTAAATACAAACCCGATCCATTTAACCCTAGTAAGCGGGGGTCGAATACAAACGTGATTTATTATAATAAATGCATTTTAATTCCAACCATATAAACGATACAACCACAAATTATCCCGGAAACGATACCCATAACCTTGACTACGAATCTTTGGAGAGCCAATGCAAAAATATTTGGATTCTGAGATCTCACATCGAGAGGGAATCCGTTACAGCCAGATTAAATCTTTCGTTCTTATCATCGAATAGAAATGAGAGAGATGCTTCCCACGATTCTTCTTCCGCAAATGACCTTACTGACGATGGATTTTCTCAAGAAATTGCACCGCGCATTTCTAACATAATCCACCCCTTTCGCGATCACGAAAATACAATAAATAATCAAGAAAACAGTCACGATAGCGATTATATGAATCACGATAAAAATGTTAATATTACCGATCTTCAAATAAAGTCTAGTAAAGTTAATAATCTTGGTGATTGCCATGAAACTGTAGGCAATAAAATATCCATTCCTGATGTCGTTACATTTGAGAATGGTTCAGCCAATGGAATAGAGTCGATCTTGAATGGCAATACATCTACGAATGACTATAATCAACCAATGAGACATTCTAAAGGAACATGCCTCGACAACTCAAATATAATTCGTTCTCCTTGTAACTCGTCAAATTCGGGGAACTTACCCCAAGTTGATATATTTAATATTCAAATCGATCGAAATATAATTAACGTAAATACCAACCAAGAAACAGATGTCACAAATCCATCATCAACCATTAAATTAACCAATGCCGGGAAATTAAGCGGAGATCATATCGACGCGCAAAGCAACGCGAGTTCAAACGAGGAAGTCAGAGTATATATTAAAAAATATATTCTTAATATATTATATATTTTTTTTCTTATAACTTTTATAGGTTCTTATCTTTTAACTTTAACATTAGGGCCAATGGGAATTATATTTCAGGAGTCCTCCAGTGATTGAAATTTTAAGCTCTGTTTCGAATTTGGAAAAAAAAATGCTATTTTCATGACTTCCTAGCCCGGATCTATTATTTTTTTTCTTCGGTCCGAGCCCGTATTTTTTTTAAAAATTTAGTTCTTTCTTTTCTTTCTTTCTTTCTTTCTCTATTTATTTATTAATTTAGAAATAAATAGTTATTATCAAAAATATGAGCAGTTAATGTTTTATGGGTCAGCGACGTAAGCTTTTTTTTTAGTTTTCAGAGTTGTATATAGTATTGTAAAAGGCTCGTTTTGAGCCGATTTTTAAAAAATGGTTAACTCAAATATTTTATCCAGAAAAATATTACGCAAGCCTGAAGATTTTGTTCATAGAAGGAACAAAGGTCTAGACATATATCCTCGAAAACTCGAGGCTTAGGCAACATTTTTTTCTGGCTAAAATATCGAGTTAGCCGTTTTTAAAAATCGGCTCAAAACGAGCCGTTTAACAACACTAGTTGTATACCAAGGGATTTAGTCCGGGCTGAAGGTAGGTCTCTCATTGTGATTACTATCATAAAACTAATTATATATTTAATCGGGGGAAAAAAAACAATTATAGAGTTTAACCGTATCTTTTGAAATGGAAAGTTCATTTGAAGAAAATGGTCATGTTACTAATAATCGGTCACTACTGAAATGGGATTCCGGATATAACTCCTATCCTAAGGACTTGTATCTGCCCCAAAGTTCAATTTCAGAAACTTCGAACGATGACAACAACGAAATAGTTATGACTAAAGGCAACTGTATTGTACCAAAGGAGCAATATATCGCAAAACCATCTGATCCACTAAGATTTAACGGTACTGCAGAATTATCAAACGGTCATTATGATCTAAATAGTGAATTGAGTGATCTAACACATGTAGGAGATCTTGAAAATACAATAATGATTAATAGACCAGAGTTCGGCATTGAAGCTGAAGGTTTTTTTTTAAAAATAATTTAAAAATTGTTAACTATTTAAGCGATCCAGAGGTAAGCATTCGTAGCGACACTTTGAAAGTAGTTTACCTTATCATCATGAATTAAAATACTATAGATAAACTCATCACTTGTCACTCCTGATTTTTTAATATATCACAAGTGTTTTATAATTTAGTTTTGTAAAATAAAGCATATATAGAGAAAATTTCTAAAAAAAATCCCCCAGAAAATAAATTAATAAATATTTATATTTTAAATTGCATATTTTTCTTACTGTTTCATAAAATCCTTCCCAAATTTAAAAAAATATATGTTTACATTTTTTATATATCACTCTTTTTCTATTTATTTTTTTTAGTAAGAGATTTTGCCATCGATCATAAAACCAATCAAATTTTCAATGAATTTGTCAAAATCGATCCGAATTTTAAAGGTAAACATGTCACGAAAACCCATTCCTCTAAAAAATCATCCTTTAATAAAAATGCTAAAAAGTTGCATGAGGCTCCTAACAGTTTTCAGGGTAAAAAGTCTAAACAATATTTATCCGTGCCTACAAAAATGCTCACACGCTTCATTGATGATGACAAATCGATTCCGACAGCGACCAATTGTATAGATCAGGATTCCACTTCTAGTCTCATCTATAAGGCTGTAACTTATCCCCAAAACCCTTTATTTGTTCAATCTTGTAGTAATGATGAAAATAATTTAAATTCTAAGTCCTGTAATATCCGAGATGACGAGGATAGTCGCAAGGAGGAGACCGATAATTTAAAACTGCCTTCTGCCGATCAAATTACACAGTTTCACAACGATCTCAAATGCGTCAAAAGGTGCAAAAAATTGGGCTTGACCACGAGCAAAGACACCGCATTGGATAATGCTAAATTACTTTTGAGCTATTTTAAACTCAAATGGGAAAAGAGTAGCCGGGAAAGCATCGAAGAAGAAACTGAGGAAGATTTGGAGAAAAATGGTTGACAATTCCCTCATAAAAAAAACCCCCCATCTTTGAATATTATATCTAATTATCGTAAATTAACTTTTGTGGATTATTTTTAATAAGAAGAGCTATGTTTCATAATTACTATGTTCTAGTATAACTAGTGTTGTTAAAACGGCCCGTTTTTAAGCCGATTTTTAAATACGGCCAACTCAATATTTTATCCGGAAAAATATTGCCTAAATCTCGAGATTTCGCTAATAGCTTGTTCCTCCTACAAACAAAATCTTCAGGCTTGCGTAATATTATTCTGGACGAAATATTGAGTTAACCGTTTTAAAAATCGGCTCAAAACGAGCCGGTTAACAACACTGAGTATAATGTGATTTTTTCGCGCGCACCTTTGCGATTTATTCTGATATCCCAAGATTATTAAGTTATTGAGACATCCATAAATTCATTCAATAAAACAAAAATATGCATTTGTTATTTTTTTACTATTGATTTTTTTTATTGGACCTTAAAATTTTGATCATCAAACATCAAATTTTCTGGTTTAAAATTGAATTAATTTGAAGGCTCGTAACATTTTTTTTGTAATATCATTTTTATCATTAGATTCAAAAACAACGAATATTTTAAAATTAAAACCTAGAAAACGGCTAACTCAATATTTTATCTAGAAAAATATTATACAAGTTTAAAAGATTTTTCTCATAGATACATAGGATTGAACATCTATTAGCAAAATATCTACGCTTAGGCAATATTTTCCTGGCTATAATGTTGAGTTAGCCGTTTTTAAAAATCTCAAATTGAGCCTTTTATAGCAACACTATATCAAACCAATTGAACCTAATAATTGGGAAATCGATTGATACCATCTCCTCCAGTCATATCAAGGTGCATGGAAATTTTTAAATAAGATTAGATGAAGAAGAACATTGCATTGATGGTACCTTCATCTTATTAAATGTGTTTTAATCATCTTAATATATATCTAATTTTAATATTTTAATGATTTCAGAAAATATAACCTTTGTGGTGTAGTATATTAAAATGATTTAAAGATATATATAATTTTAATATCTTGTGGTGATTTCAGATGAAGTAGATTGCTCGCAATAATTAACAGAAATATGCTTTGTAATGATGGTTTACCCCTCAACAAAGTAGCAAAGTTTGATTTTATGAAAGTCTATTTTTGATTATAGATTAAAAAACCTCAGATTAAAGATGTATAAATTATCTTTTTATAGTTAGTCATTTATTGCGTCGATTTTATAAGTTATTATATAGATCTCAATAAAAGTTACAATAAAAAAATTTCGATATCACCAAAATGAACTAAATTCTAAAAAAACCAATACTAAATCACTTTTTGAAGAAACGTAAAAGATAAATTTCAATTTTTATTAATTTTTTTTTATAGCCGAGCCTTAACTTCAATAATCGTATAATATGCTATTTGCTTTATTGTTAGATCAAAATATTGGCTATTAAAAAAAGAAAAATTAATATCCATTTTTAGTTATTGTTTTAATTATATAAAGTAATATTTTTAAACTTAAAATAATGAAAATTTAAAATAAATATAATATATTTTTATCAAGCTTCTTCAATTTACTTTCAAATATATAATGGTTTAATAGCTGAAATGAGTATTTTTTTTATATTTTTTTAGCTCATTACACTATTTATTTAAAAATCAATTTTAAAATAATACATTGAACGTTAAAAGTAAAACATATATACGTAATTTAAAAATATATATTAAAAATATCATGTAAACTATTTTATAAATTAAAATCTATATAAAAATCTGTATAATAAAAAAAAAAAAATTAGTATAGTAAATTGTATGTTGGGTGGGAGGAGGTCAAGAAAGAGAGCCGTGGATGGCAATGCAGTTAGATCTGCATACATCAATAGATATGCGGTGTCTGAGATAGAAGCCTTCCTGTGGGTCACCAGTGATGGCGCGGATTTTTTTACCAAGGGATTTGAAGAAGGTTAGGGCATGATTGCCAAAAAAACCGGTTGTGTCGGATACGATTGGTATGTATACTCTCTTTAATATTTTCTTGTATTTCAATTCTACAAATTGGTTAAATTTCGCTCATTTTATTTTATTTCTGTTAATAAGGGAGATGTAATTTAATTTTTTGAAATAAAAACAAAATTTTATTTATCATTTTAATAACTTTTATTTATTTAGTTTGTTAATTTATAGTGATTTTAATAATAAAAAGGGAATATAAATTAAAACAAATAGTTTTAACGTAGGCGTTGCCGAATTTAAAATTATGTAATTTCTCGGAAAGTCTTAAGCCAAAATTTTAAGCAATAAAGTTTTAATTATTGCAAATTTATAAAAATTTTATTTTCTCATCACATTGTATTCAAACAACCATTAGCATTCTATTCTTTTCAGTTTCTACAGTAGGAAATATAGTATAATTCCATTAGAGCTCTCTTTCCTTAGAATCCACCACATAATCTCCTACTAGGTTACATAATAATATAGTTTACATTTCAATAATGGTTGGAAATAAATCTTTCTACTCCCTTTTTTAGAAGGCGCAAAAATTATAGTAATTTCACAATCACCAATATCTGGAATCTTAAACACCTTCTCAACATCAAAAATAACAAGAGTTTAAAAATACTTATAAATTAATAATAATACTCAAGTTTAATTCAATGACTTTAACTTATGTTGTTCCTTCCATGCAAGATAATAAATACGAATGTAAATGTTCATATAAATTGACATTACAATATTAATTTGATTGCTATCATGTCAATATAGGGAAAATAACGTAATTGAAATACACAATAATTATATTTATAATCTTTATCGCTTTAATAAAGAAATTAAAAGTTTTCTTGTAAAATGGAATTCTATTTTGTATTACACGCATTTAAGATAATATTTTCCCATTTAAAAAAATAAGCCTATATATATAACGGGAAATTTAGAATATTTCTGAATCTTTTATTTGTCTTAATAATGCCTTAATCTACCCTGAACAAGCTATCTTTGTATATTAGAAGTATAATTGAATAATGTCTAAAATTGGCAAATTCCTCTCAATCTACAATGGTAACAAAAAAAGCATTGAATGTTTTCAAGAAGAACCTCGAGGCTGAGTTTGTTAGTTCTCGGCTAAAAACTATGTTTGGCCATCTTTTTTTTATTCAAATAAGCATTAGCTAAAGTGGCCCTTCCCAACTTATTAATTATATATAAGACTAAAACACTAAAATTTAAGCTTTTAGATTATACCCATTAATAAGCATATATTACAAAATTAAACTCCTTCCCTCCCAATTCTTAAATCCAGCCAACCAAAACTAACATAACAGATGTTATTTTACATTTCTTTTTCAGACAAAATTTTATAGTCAACTGTTCCAACCCACCCCAAAATAGATCTATCTCCTAATAGATAAGTATTATGAGATAAAATTTTGGTGACAGGTTTATATATTTATTTATTATAAATCCAGATAGGGATTCAGGCGCCGCTCATCTTGGATTTCATAAATTTTGTAAGATTTCAATTAAATTAAATAGAAAATTGAATAGATATTTTAAAAGATATCATTTATTAGAGTTTTTTTTTTAAATCAAAACTTTTGGGCAATAATATAAGCAACTAATAATTTCTTACATTTAAATTTTTTATATATATATAATCCTTTGAAGCCAATTTTTTATATTATATATTACATCAGAATTTATTCATTTATAAAAATTCAAACTTTTCATTCTACCCCTTAACCATGAAAATATCATTTTATTTGGTTATTTTATGGAATCATTTAATTGGAGAATAGCCGTATTTAGCATGAACTAGAATAGCGGTGCTAACATTCGAATGTGTTTTGTCCTTTTTACATAACTATTAAAATATTTCTAATATAATTTTATATATTCAAACAAGAAATTTTAAGCTTTATTTAAAAAAATCAAATATAAAGCCAATGAATGATCTTCAAAAGATAAACATAGATTTAAAAAAAATTAGATATGAAAATTCATCTTCACACCAAATTTAAGGTAATATATGATCAAGGGTCAAAAAGTTATTCTCGTTAACATTGTTACCCCTTCCAATCGCTTTACCCTGTTTCTATTATTAGATACATTTTTATATAAATATTTCACTTGCCATTTGGTTTTTAAATTATGATCAAAGATAAATAATCCCATATCCGAATTTATCCCTTTACAAATTAAAATGAACGCATTTTATTTTGCAATTCATGACCCGATCGTAGGTTAAATAAAAATAGAAAGATTAAAATTTTACTTTCCTATTCTCCCTCTTCCCGCACACAGAGTATGTGAAAAAAAAAAGATAAACAATTTTAGCATTCATCAAACTAAGAATAATTTAAGATAATAAAAAAATTGATATCAGAATTTTTATATTTAATGATTATATTAGGATAAAAGTGATATAGCATATCAGTATTTTCCAGTGCTGGAAATATTTCTTAGTGTGTGGCTATAAATGTTTTTAGAAATAGAGGATGCCTCGCTGATTCAAATTTTTTGAGAATGCTTAAAGGTTAACTATCATATTTAATTACATATAAATTAAATATTATACAAAATATATTTGGTTCACTTCAAAATTTCAATTGTAACAACAGATTTAAATTTTGATATTATGGCCGCTAAGATCTGTAAAGCCCGGACCGTTTCGGCCCGTTAAAAATTTCTGCACAAGTTGCCCAATCTCTTATAATTTTATGAAAAGTCTACCCCGGCTCATTAAATTTTTCTTCCTGCCATCATATTTTTAATATCATTATAAATTCCATTAACAAATGACATTTATTTTTATTTTGGTAAAACTATTTGGATTATATGATATGATTATTTTACTATCAAAAAAAAACCTAGATATTGCTTGACATTACTTGTGAAGAGTTTTAATTAAAATTTAATTAAAAATTCTTTAGTTAAATAAATTTTTATTTGGAAGGCTTCAGGGACACCGCTTTTTTGCCGGCCATTGGTTGAGTATACTTCTTTTTCTATTTAATATAAAAAATGCTAAAAAAAAGAAGTTATTTATGGTCATTATTTTAAAATTTTAAAAGATTATTAAATTACATTTAGATTGTTATAAAAAAACAAATTTCCCGGAGATGTGGTTGTGTTAAAAAATTATTAACTTTACTTAGATTGCTGAAATTTGGGAGGTAGATGTGGGTGGGATTGGGAAGAGAGGGTGCAGATAATTTTTATCAGCTTAAGATGAGATTTAATATAGGAAAATTTCCTAAAGGAAGGTGAGCCTCGTTCCTTCCTCCATCCAGCTTATGAAGCTATATAAGCATATCATAGCGACTATTTGTTTTTATTACATAAAAATGTCTTTAAAATGTATATACCATATATAGTAAACTTCTTTTTTTTTGCAAATTTTTTAAATAAATTGTTCTCTGATTTGTTTCAAAAATGTAGCCGGGATATGTTAAAGAGACAATCCAAATTACATTACCATAAATGTGTAATATCAAGCAACTTACAAAATTTTGTGTTAAATCAGAAACATGCAAACATATAAGAAGATGTAAGTATTCTCGATATGAGATTGTATAAAATTACCCTACAATAATGTATCTGAAATATTTATGAAAATTTATCACTTCCATAAAACTTGAAAAACAAATTTAGTTAATCCCAATTGAAGGGAAAGGTATGGTGAAAAGAGATATTTTATACACCTTGATTGTCGTAGGACTTATGTGGCATGACCTTTAAAATTCTTAAAAGCATTATTATAACGGAATTCGGATTTCGATTTACTAAATGACAACGTTATTCAATAAATCATATATATACGACAACAGCTAAATATAATTTTATGCGCGTCAAAAGGTAACAAAAAATTATTTAACGGAGATTATTGATTATCGGAAAAAAAAAATAGATTATATATAAAAAAAAAATTATATATATAAATTTTATTATTATTTTAACACTTTAATTAAAATTTGTTACTTAATTTAATGGAATAAGATTATTTGTTTCTTCACCTTTTCTTTTAAAATGTAAACAATATTCAAAATATCCTTTTTATTCGAACAACTAAATTCAAAAATATGTTGCTAGATATCTATTCGTGTTTTCCTTTAAAATCCAATTAGGCACTATTCGAAGTACAATATATTTATTTTTGGTAAGAGTTTAATTATTAGAAAAAACCATTCATTATACTTTGAAGGTCTTGTATGTTTAAGCAAGGGATTTCAAAAAAATTTATAAATGTGAATATATTTTTTTTACCCAAAATTTTGAGCAAAAAATATCCTTTGGAAATGAATAAAATTGAAGATTTTTTTAAAGAAATTTAAGGATTAATATAATGAAAGTTATTTTTTTATATGCAAAAAAAAACGCAGAAGGCAAAAAAAACGATTTGGAATTTTAGGCAAGATCAAAAATCCTTCTTGAACATTCTCAATTTTTTTTGATCTGACCCTTGTTTTAAGGTGATATTTGTTGAAAATTGGTTATGAATATGATTTTTTTAAAATAGTTGATTTTTTTTCCACTCCAGTTTAACAATTTAAAGGGGGGAAGGATATCAGTTAGTAATCTATTTCTCAAAAATCCAACAAAATTACAGGATATCAACTTCAAAAACTTTTCTTCCTTTTTTTTTTATTGATAATTCAAATTGATAGTAAAAAAAAGTAAAAAAATTATTATAGTACACTTTATTATACTTTAAAAAAAACTCATTAAAATTTAATGCTTTTCGAAGGAAGCTATATTACAATTACTTTTACTATATAACTAAAAAAAATAAATAAAAAAGAATATAAATATTTAAATTTTTCTCAATAAAATTATTAATATTTTAGTCTATTTAGGGAATGGGATTAAATACATTTATCTAAACCGTAAAATTTCAAATCTCCACTCCCCCCCCCCTTCCCTCTTAAGTAAAATATCAGATACCCTCTTATATATATACTATCTCGTTTACCCGTTTTCATTATTTATTTTTTTAAACTAATTGTATATGAAAAAAATATTATATAATTATCATAATTATAATCAATATAAATATCAATTATGTCATCTTTAAGATATAGTATATATATATAAACTATATATTGTCTTAGACCTCGTGATTTCGCTAATAAATGTCCAAACCTTTGTAGCATCTATTAGCAAAATCTTCAGGCTTACCCATAATATTTTTCTCTGGATAAAATACTGAGTCAGCTATTTTTAAAAAATCGGAATCCAATGGAGTGATTTTACATCACTAAGTGTTATATATATATATAAGATAATTAATATTTCCTTTAAAAAAAAATATCGGGCACAAATTTTTATTGTATTACAATTATTTCCCTTCTTTTAATTATATATTTTTATATAGATTATAGATATAGTATCTTTTATAAATTATGATCCTTTATAGTCAGAATAACTTATATTTTCAACATTAATACAAATATGATACAAATTTTAAAATAAAGATTTTTGACACCTAAAAAAAAAATAGAAACATTTTAAATCAAATAATTTAAAATCTAAAATTTATTTAATTTTTGCAGTTATAATCGTTATAAATTTATATATATATAAATATTCTAATAAGAACGATATGAAACATTTAATCTAATTCATGATTTTATTGTTATTTTAAAATTGTAATTAAAAAATAATGAAAAATTTCGTAAACTCCTAAAGACGTTATTCTGCGAAACAATTTCTCTGGCATCTACTCATTCCGAAAATAAAAATTAGCCACAATTTCCCTCTACAAAATTCAGGGGACCTCAAATCCAAATCCGCGCAAAATATAAAAATAAGATATACCATAATAGTTTATTTCTTTTTAGTATGTTATTATAAGTTATAATAATCCTTATGAAAAGAACAAAATTGTATATTCAAAACATGATTTATTCGATTGATCAAGAAAAATACCTAACCTGGCCATGCCTAATAAAAAAAAAATTCCTTTACCCAGATCATAGTGCTGATTGCTATAATAGAAGGGAATTGCTATCATTTTTGTTTTAGTCTAACCTTGTAAACCACGTATTTTTTTAAAACTTTTTGGTATCGTGTCTTAAAAAGGGTGTCTAACTCTGCCAATCCCAAATGTTCCTTACCACTGCGGAGATTTTTAAGCGGTTATCCATTTTTTTGATACCTTAAATTTAATATGCACCTTTAAAATAATTTTTAAAAAGAATGAGGATGACACATATTCACGATATTTAAGTGATGTAGAAAAATGGGGGGGGGGGGTGATTTGGGGTTGAAACCTCCCTCTCCCTCCACCATATTTTTTGTTTATTTAAAATCGATAAAAAGCCTTTCCTTAATTTTATATTTCATTTAAAATCATCTCAAAAAAATACCTTCTTCTATTTTTAAAATAACGTGAAAGAATACCCCCTCCCCCCCCCAAAAAAAAAATCTACGCAAAAAAACAATATTACTATTATAAGGGTACATTAAAAAAAAATTTTAAATCAAATTTGTAAGATAAAAGAAAATTATGATGCACAAATTGTATAAGATTCGATCTTTAAAAACGGCTAATCCAAAATTTTGCCATAAAAATTACCCGAGTTTCGGGAATACGTTAATAAATGTGCCAAACCATTCTGCTATCTATGAGCGAAGTTCTCCGGGATCGCGTAATATTTTTGGTTGAAATATCGCGTTAGCCGTTTTTTCAAAATCGAAAATGTTAACACTACTATACAATATTACCAAATATGCTTAAATTTCTTATGAGAAATCGACGTTCTTTTTCCAAATTTAAAGGCGGTATACTTAGTTATAGGTATTGTTATACCAAAATAAGCTCATCAACCTCAGACCTAAATAATCTTCTATTTATATTGGTTTTCAATTTTATCGGAACCAAGGATTTTATTTTGGCACGATATTTTCCGAAGATTAGAGTCTATTTGACTCACATATTATTTTTTTGCTACCACTACTTAAATTATCAAAGTATCAAGGTTACAACCAGAGATATCGAGTCTCATATTTTTAAAATACGACAATTTTTTTTGTAATAATGATGAGAATTTTTTTTATACATATAATTTCATTTCATTTCATTTATTTAATTTTATATATTATAATTGCTTTAGTGCTCTCCCTATATTTTTCTTTCCATCCGGAATCGTGAAACCAATTTTCGAAATTTTTATTTATTTCGTTAATAACTTTATTTGTATTGTTTACTAAACAGATTGAAATGTTAAACTGAAATGAATATACTAGTTAAGACTTACATATAGGCCTAAGTATGTTGTAGAATTAGTGGTTTCAAAAGTTAGGCCAACTTGATGCTTAGAACATCGTCGTCATGAGATTAAGATTCTCGTCAAATTCATGAAAATATAATTCTATTCAAAATATAATGACGCCTATGATATCGTAGTTCTCATTTGGCTTATGATTCGGTTACTTTTTCCATAGTGACAAAATTGTTCTAATAAGTAAGACACTAATTGATAAATATTGAAGCAAACCAGACATTTTAAAATTTAAATATTCTCCATTCTGTGATGATGCCAATTTAGACAATTTTTTCTTCTTCTTATTTCTACCGATAAATTACCATCTACCAAACAGACCAAATCAATAAAATATACTAAGAGCCGTATACATAAGACCTTGATATGAGTTTCAGAATTAGTGTTTTACAAAATTTTGGCACACATAACGTTTTAATCAGAATGTTATAGTTTTAATATTATATTTACAGCTCGAATTTATTTATTTTTGCGGTGCGCTAAAAAACGGATTCACCAATTACTAGTCAGGCAGGAGGCTTCAAATATTAGGGAAAATCAGACATTTATCTGGTTAGATGCCAACTTTTTTTCCCCTTATTTTGCCATTAGCCATTTTTTTCTAGTGTTGTTAAACGGCTCATTTTGAGCCGATTTTTAAAAATGGCTATCTCAATATTTTATTAGGGAAAAATATTATGCAAGCCTTAAGATTTTGCTCATAGGTGACACAAGGGTTTTAACATCTATTAACTAAAATCTCGAGGCTTGAACAATATTCTGTCTAAAATATTGAGTTAGCCTATTTTAAAAAATCGGTTTAGATCGAGCCGTTTAACAAAACTACATTTTTCCTTTCTCTTTGTAACTGTCTATAAAATAGAAATAATATGCAAATAAGCAGAGTATTTTAAAAGAAAAATTCGGAATTCTTCTTGATGTGAAGAACTGAGATTTTATAATGAAATTTTACCTAAAAATGTCAAGAAGATTTTTAAAAAGTGCTTTGAAGATTATTTTCAAACTCTGCAAATAGACAGCTAAACATTGGGAAAATGAATAAGTGATTACAATCACTTTTTTAATCATAAGGTTGAGTCAAAATTTTGTTGCCAATAATTGTTTCACTTTATAATGGCTATCGTACTGATAAAGTACTCATAAACGCTAATAAAGCAAGAATTTTGAAAGATTTTGGAATTAATGCCTTTCACAGTTGCATTTTTAGTTAAGTGCGAATTCGCGGCTAAGATAACAAAATATGGTATTATAAATTGATAATTTTATACAATAATTTTTTGTTACCGCGAATTTACGCTAACTGTGAATGCGGCGGGGTTGGACGAATCTTGGCTATGTCCAATGGGAATTTGACATTTTGTATTAAAAAAAAGATATTCATATTTTAGTTAACGGGGAATGAAAAAGGTAAAGTCAATACACAATTCATTTCGCAAAAATCTCGTAGTTATAGAAATAGGAAATCAGAGTATAATAATTTAACATTCAACTATATAACTAAAAATGAGCTATCATTTTTTTAAAAAAACTGAATTGTTTTTTTTTAAAATTAATATTATTATTGGTATTGGCCTGTTGGTTGCGTATTCGAGATAAAAATATATTTTAAAAAAAAACTGATTATGTTATACGGTTACGGAAATAAAATTATTTTTGTTATTACATTAAAATTCAAAAAAAAGAAGATTATTTAAGAAATTTGAAGGGAAAATAAAATATATATTATATTAAATTAAATGCTTTTAATAAAGAAAATATAAATTTAAACATGAAGATAAGATAAAAAATAAATCAAATACGTTTGTTATTTGGTTAAATAAATGTCAGAAATATGGATAGCTTAAGGATATCATTAAAAATCTTGGTTCATTTAATCAAAATGCTTTTAGTTAATTAAAATAATTAATTATTTCCTATAAAGATCTGCCTGCTTGACAGCCCACTCCCGCCTCTCTTCCCCGTGGAGTTCATTTTCAAGTTCATTTTCTAATTCATTTTCCAGGCCAATTTTATGTTGATGAACATATTCATCGAAATAGGTTTGATAGTACAAGCACATTCACTACAAAAAAAAAGAATTATTGTATTTTGTAAAAAAAAAATCACTCAGTTTAATTAAAAAGAAATCTTTTTATTTTCTGAAAAGGTATATTTATCAATTATTCCTCCGACGTGGCAGTCCTCGAATCTTTAAATAATGTAACGAGTGTAAACAAAAAAAAAATTCGGCAGCACTTGTGTGCGATATGGATTACTGTAAAAAAAAATATAACAAAAATCGAGCAGCACTTCCATGGGTCAGGTCTAACTGCATAAAATATTAGCCCGAATGTGGCTTACAGATAAGAGGACTCTGGTTAACTCCATTTTACTATGTTCAGCCGACTCACTTAAGAGTAGTATTGTTAAATGGTTCTATTTGAACCGATTTTTAAAGACGGAACTCAAGATTTTAGCCAGAAAAATATTGCCAAAAACCTTGAGATTTGGCTAATAAATGTCCAAACCTTTGCGCCATCTATGAGCTTGGTTATAATTCCTCCTAACTGGTAGCTATTTCATGAATCCGTCATTTGTTTAAAAAAATTGGTTCAATATAGTATGATACTATACTAACCTTTCGTTATCACTTTTATCAAACATAGAGCACTATTGAATGTCATTGCTCAGGAGAGAATATTCGACTGAGCGTGATTCGATAGCTGCATCCTAAACCTTTTATAAATCGGAATTTGGATAAACTGAGCCTCTCGTTACGTTTTATAATCCTACACAAAGATCACGTAATGAATAGCTCAGTGAGTCTTCAACCTATGTTACACAATTACCTGATTTGGTTCATTATCTATTTTAAATTAAATATATTTTCACTTAAAAATATAAAAATCAAAAATGCGTCTTTAATAATAAAGAATTATTCTGTAATATAACATTACCAACCCTATTATCCGTTGTTTAATATTTTCTTACCCCACTTGACGCCCATGGCTCGCCCATTGCACCTCAAACTTTGATGACTTATAAATCCTATTTTGAATTTGCATTTTAAGTATTTTAAACAAAAAAAAAATTAAGTAAAATGAAAGGAAATATTTTCTTTTTTACAAACAAGGTTCTCCCAATCAACAAAAAGAAAAGAAATTTTCAATTTTAATTAATGATTAAAAAAATACCACTTTATAAAAAGAGTAATATTCATTCAATCGATATAAAATTTTATTATTTTGAAAAGAAATTCAATTTTTTTTTTTTAAAGCAAAATTTTTCCAAACGATTTAAAGATATTTTGTCAAAAAAATGTGAAAGTTAGTAGTAAAAATTGTATTTAAAAAGTCTATCGAATATTAATAGATTTAGAACCACGAACCTAGAATTCGTTCGCCAGGAAAATAAAATTAATCTTTTTCCACCTGGGAAACTCAAATATGAATGTTTCTATATAAAATGCTAAATCACTATCTTCAATTTATTCGTCTATAAATAAATTTTCTAATTACATATTAGAATTTGCTATCCCCACCCTTATTTGTCCGGTTCTCTCTCTTTTTTTTTGCCTAGAAGCAGCTATTCTGGTTTTCCATCAAAAATATTTTGACCTCGTCGGCTGATATATCTGATCTTCAGCTACTAAAAACTTCTCAAATAATATTAATATGGTCATGATTGCTCAGCCAGGCAATGGCGACTTTAAATTTTCTGTCCGAGAGATGATAAGCAAATTAATGGAATTGACTATGGTTTCAGTTTACGATTGTAACAAGTACTAGGTCGATATCCTAGATCTCAAAGGTCAGGCTAGCTTAAAATTGGGCAGTCGTATTTGTCCATCATAGAGTGAACGGGTAGTGCTATTCTAAATGACTGGGAAAATCTTAACTTGGGATTATTTCCTGTTCAAACATCTTTACTCCTTAATATCAATATTGTCTCCATCCTTTTTTAAAAAAATTCATAATAATATATTTTATCAAGATGATTATACATAAATTAATTTTTTTATATTTTTTTTACTAATTTTATAACGAGCATAAATAAAATCTATTTTACTGTGCTAAACAGCTCGTTCTGTGAGCCGATTTTTTAACGGCTAACTCAATATTTTATCCAGAAAAATATTACGTAAGTCTGAAGAATTCTGCTCATAGAAGGAACGAAGGTCTAGACATATATTATCGAAATCTCGAGAATTAGGCAATATTTTTCTGGCTAAAATATTGAGCCTCAAACAACACTAGTTATTATTTTTATTTTAATTGAAAATGTTATTAATACATTTTTAAAATTGTATATAACGTAGATTTGGAAGTGGGAAAATACAATATAATTTTACTTATATGAATGTTAAAAAATGTTTACATTTTAAATTAAATATACATCATATAAACTAAAAAATTGAATATGAGATAAATTTATTTGTAATAACATTTTTCTTTTAAGAAATAATAACAGATTACATTTTCCAGGAGATAATCCTAATTTTTAATTATTTATTTAGTAAATATCATTCAAAATAAGATTTTTCTTTTTCCAAAATTCTATACGATATCTTATCTCGATTTAATAAATTAAATTTTTATTTGAGTTTTTTGCATTTTTTTTAGACTTTCTTTCCATAATAATATTTTATTTAATGTAAAGATATAAGTTATAATGATCAAACGTCTATAATAAAAATATATATTACATTTACTTATTTATTTATTTTTAAATCCATTTTTAAAAAATGAATTAAAATTGAAATTTATTATTTAAAAAAAATTCTTATATATTTTACAAATATTTAATCTATTCCATTATATATATTATATAGGTAAATAGATAGATACCATTATAAAATTTACTGCACACCAAAATAATCAATACCCTTCTTCATCTAAGCAAATTTTTTTTTTACCTTTTCTTCCCTTTATATGAATTATAAAATATTGAAAAAAAAGAAAGAAAAAAAATAATATTTACTAATGATAAATTTTAGATCCTATGCCAGAATTCTTTAATAATTAATTATTTTTAAAATAAATTATTAATCTTTTATTAGACGAGTTTGTGAATCTACTAAACTAAACCAATAAATATTATTTTTATAATTTTTATTTTTATAGGAAAAAAAACAATATTATATTAATTATCCAGGGGATTAGGCAATAAATCAAGGTAAAGTTAAAGTGGCTTTTGATGTTTAGAGAAAGGCAACAAATGTATATAATATACGAATGGACAAAAATTGTTTCCATATTATTTATTACATTATTTTTTACTATTAAAATTATTTTTCCCGATTTAATAATATATTTTATTTTCATTTTCAAAAGCGATCTCTAAGTTATAATCAGAATCTACCATATGATTTCGACATACAACTAGCCGAATGTTATTTGTTAGAAATTTGTTTTCTTCTAAAAAATAAACTATTCATTCTCAGATCCATATTTTTTTTGGGGGAAATATATCATCTATCCACTCCTGGACTCTATTTGGATAAAATTTGTGAAATTTAACATTCAGATCAAACACACGTGAATATTCACATATATATTCCTTCATTTTTTTTTTGTTTTGTAATTTATGAAATTACTATTCATCTATAATCTTATCCGTCTGATTCCCAAACAATTTTTAATTACGATTACCATTGAAAATGATTCCTGCAAAATATGCAAATCAACGGTACTACTTGGGGTCATAAAATTTAACATGTTCCGGGCCAGTTCGTATTGCAGCAGTAATGATCATTCTTCCATCGAATATAAATTCCCTGATCCCCCAAATTATCAAGATAAAACTGATCAAAATGGGGCAATTAAGGACGGGAATATCAACAATGGGCTAGCGATAAAGGTGGAGAGAAATCATATCATAAAGGCGGACCATCTGCAAATTCCCACAGGTGTACATCGCCCTGATCGAAGGATTGGGCTGGTAGGAAATGTAACAGAGGGTGATGATCACGTAAATAATTTTGACAATTTTATTAATAAACCCATCTTGAATCAACCGCGTATCAATATTTTGGTGGATAATGAACTCCCAAAATCGTATTATAATCTAGTCGTCAAATCTAATGCTCAAAATATCCCGGATGATACAGACAATCAACATCTCAAAGCTCCACAATTTCTGACAGGTGATAACAAATCTAATTCTTCTAATTTGAGTGGGGTCATGTCTGACCTGCCAACCACTGTGAGCGATGTCAAATTCACGGAAAACTTGGATAAATTTGACTCCCAAATCCATAAACTATTTCCCGGTTTAGCCATATACAACAAAGAATATTTCCGTCGCAAAAAAATATCAGACTCCAAAACCAGAAAAATATTTATCAAAAGGGCCAGCAAGGGTAGAAACAAGTTATTTAAAAACAAGATAGGGGACGATGCCGCTAACATTTCGAGTAGGTCTCTCAACGAGGTGAGCCAATTCGAGGATATGATGGCGGGATCCAAGAACACCGGTAAAAGGGTTAGAAAGAAAACTGTGCTCGAAAAGGCCAAGGAAGAGCTACAAACGGATCCGGATATCATAAAGGAGTTGATTTTGGGTAAAAGAATAGGATTCTACAAATTTAAAGGGGAGATTGGATCTGGAAATTTCTCGCAAGTCAAATTGGCCACCCATTGCTTGACAAACGGTAAAGCATATATATTGTACTATAATATGGCCCGGCCTGTACCTGACTCGACTATTATTTTAAATTCGTGTTGAGCTTGGCCGGCCGGGTTGGGTTTGAATTTTTTAAGCATAAAATCATTCCATTTCGTGAAATAACTTGGTATAAAATTTCTCAAGAAACAAGGTTGCTAATTATTTTTTTTTCTTTGTAAGGATATTATTTTTACGAATAAAAAATATATTAAATTTTTCAATATTTATAAAAATCCTGGCCGGGCCGGACAAATTTTTTTATAAAATAAATTTCGGGCCGGGTTCAAATAGGCCCGATGCATTTCGCTATTTCAAGTGTCTAAATGAGATAAAATAACGCTGTATATTAGCCTCCCTTTCCATTTCTTTTTATTATTTAATTCTCTTAACGAGGACCATTTACACTACCTAAAGGTTTATGACACTCTCCTCGTATTCATATAAAAAAGGTATATATATATATATTATGTTTAAGCATACAAATGATTATTGTTTCTTAAAACTTTAAAATAAATTAATTGGAAATTATTATACAATCATTAATTTATTTATTTCATTCATTGATTTATTATTATGCTAGATATTGCATAGATGCATATTATCAACTTTAGAAGGATTTCATGCTTGCACCGTAAATGTGTCATACCCTTTAACTCCAATACCCGGCTTGTATACAAAAAACACAGCATATTTTGTAAACTTCCCCGTGTGAGGGGTTATGTATACCCATTTATTAATGAGAAGTGTTATATTTCTCATAATATGTCACTTGAAGGTAGGAGGAAGGAGTTAATTTAGAAAAGGAAAAGGTCAGTATAATTGTGATCCACTATTAATTCTAATTTAAGAAAAGCATGAATTATTTGTGGCTGGCATTATTATAGAACATATGTACCTGCCATTCATATTGCAAATATTTTACTTGACCCTTTCTGAGCTCAAGCATCTTGAAAGAGAACATTTAAAAAATTAAATTTTAAACTATGAATGGGCAAGATCATTTTTCATTAATGCTATATGTTTTTTTAATCTTTTAAATATAAATTTTATCCCCAATCACATATAAAATACCTAGGCATACCATTCATTCATTCATTCATTTAAATGGGTATTAATACAAATCCAGCTGGTGGCACGCCATTAATTTCTCATATAAACAATTAAATTAAATTTTATAGAAACATTCTTTTTTAAAAAAATCTAAAATGACGTGTAACCAGCTGACTGATTTGTGTTCAATGGCGCTTCAAATTGCATTTTAATGAATGAATCGTTGACAAAATGTTCAATGACATATAATATATATATGTTGTATTGGGGTATGGAACCCATGGGGATTTGGAATATCTCAATTTTAAATCAATTACTGAGGGCGATTTGTGAATTTAAATTAATTTAATACACAAAATTTTATGACAAAAATTGTCTAAATTATAGAGAGTAGTTACCCTGTATATGTTAGAATATATTTCCTGTCAAATCAGACCTTCCATATTTAAAAATCACTCTCAATAAATGACATAAAATATAAAGATTCTGAACCCCCATATTCCATATCCAGACACATATACCCAATAACGGTTATTTATTATTAAAATTATATAAAAGTGCCGTTACGTTGGTTTTCCATATAAATTTTTTTTTTAAAGTTTTCATAATATAAATTATTTAATATGAGTATATCAATGTTGTTTCACCAGCTGATTTATATTGAAACACATTTAAAATAAATGAAACCATCAGTGTATATGGATGGCACTGAACATATGACAATTATTATATATGACAAAAATTATATATTTAAAAAATATTATAACAACTTAAGCTAATTTTATTGGATAGATGTATTTATACATTATAGTTATAGCTTTTACAAAAGTAAAAGTTAGAAGAAAATAAAATAAATGAAAACAAGTGATTTAAAGTTTTTTTTTAGATATATCCTTATATTACTTACAAAATCATTACAGCGTCATTAGGGAAGGAGGTGTAGGGGCTCGACCCTCCTAAAAAATTTGATTAGCCTCCTGAAGCAAAATATTTTTTTTAATGTCTCTCTAAATTCCCACTAGACTAAATTAAAATTTTTTGATAACCCCCTTAACCTTCTTTTATAATTCTATTAAGTATTATATATAAATTTGATTTTATTATATAAAAATTAATAAGGCTATCTAAATTTTAATTAAATGATTGATTTTAATTATTAGAATAGATTAATACATATAAATTATATTTTCACTATGTTAGCTTGCAAATTTAAATTATTTTATAACCATAATTAACTAAATATAATCATTTATTAATTGTAAATTAACAAATTTAATATGGTATTTAGCCATGTTCAAAATCGCTAATCAACTATATTATTCATTTTTAAATTTAATTACCATGCCTCTTCCTAAAAATATTTCCAAGGTGCAAACAAGTATAAGAAATTTATTTATAAAAAGTATATATATGGTTGATGATCATCTATTATTTATAATTATTTATAAAATATTAGGTAAAATGTCACTTTTGCAGACGTATTTGACAGTTATAAAATATATTACAGTTATTATTTTTAAAATTTTACAAATCAATGCTTTTGATAATAAATATAAGTAACAATTTGCATTCAACTATTTAAGCCATCTATTTATTTAAATATTATTAAAATTAAATATCTTATTATTCATCCCACAATGGATGTAATAAATTAGATATCTTTTCTTCTCTTTTTTACGTGTTTTTAGGTAAGCATTTTTTCTTCTTCTTTGAAAAACAGTTTTGAGTTAAATTTTTAATACGAATATATTTTAGATTTTGCTACAAACTACTATTATAAATATAATTAACCAACTGGAGGTGGTGCGACAATAATATATAAAATCTTAATTACTTTCATCATATCACTCTGGTCCTTATCTTGGAGTTACTAAATGATTCATTTCTATTATTTCATCCTTACCGTGTAAATAAATAACTCAAGGGTTCAATATTTGCATAATTATTTCTTCCAAAGATTTTTAGTGTTTTTGTTTTGTCAATTTGTCTAACATAATAAATTCTGATATGAGTTTGCATCGTGAGTATAATGGCTATGACTGCAAGTTAACCATCTATTATTTGGGTGACTATGTAATTTAAGATTATGACTCCTGCTGCTGAGAGCCATTTGAGTGCATAATTTAGATAAGCAATAATAATCAACTGTCTAGTCGTTTATTTATTAAAAATGGGAGATTATAAATTTTATATCTCTCAATAATTTTCTCCATTTTATCTAGCTTCCATAATGTCATCTAAAAAAAAGCTCTAACCATCATATACTTTTATGATTTGAACTAGTCATTTATATTCTCTTCTTCAAGAATTAGTGATTTGGTTACGCCTACAAATTCCTTATTAATCAATTCAATAAAACACTATCTAAAGGGTAACACAACGTTATATTAATTTAATGACCTTTTTTCAATGTAGGTTGCTAAGAATTATATTACCTTGTATGTCTTTTAAAATCCATTATCAATTGAGGTAACCTTTTTTATCACTTGTAATTCTTAGACAAAAAATTTTTTATATCCGCAATCGAAAATATTTAATATTGTAATTGGATAAATATTTTATATTAAAAAAATATTATCTTTATAAAAGTCTTATATTGTTTTACTTTCATTATTTATAAGCATAATAAATGACAAAGTATGAAATTCAGAATAATTGTTCAGAGTTTGCAAATTTCAATTAAAGAGTATAATGTATTAATATAAAAACCTGCCGAAGACCGGGCAAAACGGGCCGAAACCCGCAAAATTGGGAGTATGGTAGGCGAAGCCCCCCATAAAAATTTTTTTAGTAACCCCCTGAGATTGTAAATGCTAGTGATGCCCCTGGTGCTAGTTCATCGATAAGTTTTTTTACAGTCAATAAATAAAAACCGGTTATAAGCGAAATAAAATTTACGACAAGCCTTAGGCCGAATCTTAAATATATTTTAAATTATCAAAAATCAATTTGGTCTGAATACATTAAGGTTTCTCTTTCCCCGATTTAAGATATTTTTTTAAATCTTATGATTCTATGATCTTCATAGAAGTTATTTTTTCTTTTTGTTTGTTTAATAAATATAGAAGTAATTCAAATCTCATTAAATAAGATAGAACGAAGACTCTAGATACACAAAAGCAATTAAAAATTAAATAAATATAAAAAAATCCTATCATCTTTCAAAATATAAGACTCGATATGGTTGTAGCTCTGAAACTTTTATATTTAATAGCGGCATGAAAAGGTAGTCTAATAGACTTGTGGCATATCTGTGCTTAACATTTATTGAAATTAAATTAATAGTTGTTTGTTCATAATGAAATTTACAAAGTAGATTTTGAAAAAGGAAAATGACAAACCAGACGAGTCTTTTGTTATTTAATTTGAAATTTATTTTTAAAAAAAATATAAAAGTAATCAAATATAGTGTAGATCAAAATTATTATTTATAAATTAAAAACATAAATATAGTTGTTTTTTTAGATTTTAAGCCTTTATATTATCAATTTAGTAAATTATATTGATATTTTTATAAAAAAGTCCATTTTATTCATGAGAAGGGGGTTAGGTTGTGGGGGGGGGATGTATCCCTAACCCCCCATGCCTACGCCACTGGCACGTCTAAGTATTTTCTGTCTAATAACTAAAAATTTATTTGTTTTGGTCGGTTAAAATTGACTAAAAACGAATGACGACTAACCCCGAATTCACTGTTAGCGTTAATTAGCGGCCTAGCATACAAAAACCATAAATTATGATATTTGTATCATATTTTGTATATTTCGTTGCGAATTCGTGCTAATTAAAAATGCAGGGTAATAGTCTATTTTTTAATATATTTACTTATGTGAAGATATCTATAGACAATATAATTCCTAAATATACAGAATTTATTTTTATTACCAATTAAACAAAAAAAAAATTAATTTTACTTTTTATTTTACTAGTATATAT